GCTGATGGGGAGGGAACCTTTGGCCCAGAGAGCTCCAACTTGGTGACACCGAGTGATTAAGCGTGCACGCTCCCAGCAAAGCCACCCAAATCACATTATCCCTTCTTTAGGCAGGGGAGAAAAAGGGGAGCTTCAAAACAATTGAATAATTTCCTCGTGATCGGTGATGGATGAATCAGCGAGACTCAAGAACCATCAGAGCCCTCCTCTGAAGCTCGAGGTGATCACCCACGTGAAGCTGTTCATGAACAGCTTAACAGTTCCCATTAAGAAAAATAACAGGGATCAGCTTCCCACAGAATCAGAGGGGTTGGGGGATTCTAGAAATTACTACAGTTCTACTAGAAAATAATATGTATGCTGTGTTTCTGTAATGCTACGAAATAAATGTGCATTCTAGTGCCAAAAGGATCGCTGCAGGAAAATTACCCAGTGTGGTAAAGCAATAAAAGGAGGATAAAAGAGCCAAAAACAAGGAAGAGAAATAAATAGAAAACACCTCTAAATTGCCTTTTTGGGCAAAGATTAAAAGAGAGCCAACTTAGCAGCACTTTATGAGAAAACCAACACACAAAAAAAAATCCATCAAGGAAATGGCACTACTTTTGGATGGGAAAGCATCGAGATGCTTTAATGCAAATGCCATTGCTCATAGTTTAGACCTGGAAGTGATGCATCTCACGTGCACTTGAAACTGGAAGGCAGTTCAGGGAGGCAGGATATAATTACTTGAACTAAATCTGGCCAGGACATTTGTATTCATGTTCTGGACTCTCCCAGAGAGGTCTCGGAAGGTTTATTGGTCGAGGATGTCCCTTGGGTGGAATGCCAGCTCAGAGAGTGGAAAATGTGGGATAGGTCAGGGCAAACATGACCTTGGGATGGGGATTCAGCTCCTCGGTGTCTCTGCTCTCGCCTGCACACAGGTGGGTACAACTGCAGCTCATCCAGGTACCAGGGATGGAGAGTCACTATAAACTCATGGAATGGTTGGGTTGGAAGGGACCTTAAAGCTCATCTCATCTCCTCTCATCTCACCCCCCTGCCACGGGCAGGGACACCCCGTCCAACCTGGCCCTGGACACTCCCAGGGATGGGGCAGCCACTGTACAACCCAAAATCCTACAAAGGCCTCTCAGTGTCTGGCACAGGTTTTTATGCAGCATAAATGAAAAATGGCTCCTCCAGCATCACTGAGCAACCTGCAGCCGTGGAAACACTGACAACAGCAAGGCTCATAAATGCTGCTCCCTTGCCCAATGAGAGGAGATGTCTCTGTGGCTTCCTCAGCTAAATCACCTCTTACTCACGGGATAAATCCTTCAAGGTGATTGTTCTTCCTTCACAACATCCTAAAGATTCATTCTTTCCTTCCCTGTGGCTCTGCAAAGGTTCAGTCCCGTGCCTGACTTATCTCCCAGCCCATTTGGATCAAGGTCACCACGTCCCCTTTGCTCTGAGGCCCTGGAGGATTTGTTTTCCCCCCAATTTCTTCTCTCCTTCTGTGTTCCATCCAAGCCCCTTTCCCTCTGTCCAACTTCAGCAACCTCCACCCCTGCCTGGGGTAGCACTCCCAGACCTCCTCCTTTACTGAGCCCCGTGGCTTTGGCTTGCTCTGCCTCCTGGATGTATTTGAGGGCAGGATTTGTCTGGCACCTTCAATTCCCTGAGGAATTCCCTGTTCCAGGAGGTTGTCAGGCATGAGAGACCACACAATGCTCCTGCATTTATTCACTGGGCAAGGATTTCTTCCTGCTTGTAGGCAGGATGCTCTTCACAGCGAGAAAGTTCTGCCTTGGCACCTCCCAAATGTTTCTGTGGTGGCTTCAGACAGCAAATAAGACCAGCAGATCTTATTTGATCAGGCTGCATTTTCTTTCCCCAATTATTTCTTCACCCACCAAGGTCAGCCTCAGAATCCTGATGTGACTGCACGTGTGGAGTGGGGCATGAAGCTCTGCCTTCATCTGATGCAGATGCTGCAGCCAAGGACTTACCAAAGGCACCCAAAAATAGGACTCTGATCCTGTTCTGTGGACAGAAACCACACACGAAACGAAATTCTGATTCCTCTTCTTCGCACCTGTCCTGAAAACCTGCAATGATTTTATTACAGTGGCAATTAAAGGGAAACTTTCTGCAGTGCAAAGGTCAGGCAGTTATGGGTTTGTGAACAATAATACAAAGGTCCGTGTTCACAAGCATGTAAAGATGTTTTCATGTTCCTGCAACCACCCACGTGATCCTGCTGACAGGCATCATATCCAATTAAAAAAACAACTTTACGAGATAGAGAACTGCCTCCCTTGTCTCTGTGCTGCAGTTAATCACCTTCCAAGTCAATTCAACGGTATGCACTTATTTCCTTGGAGCACCTCATGATTTAAGAACATAAATATGGAACTTCTGGTGGCTTCCCCAGGCCAGGTTTTAAACATGCCTTCAAGACACGACAACAGCACCCCAAAGACACTTCCCAGAGAGGAAGGTCTAGAGTGTGATTCATTTGCATGTTGGAAAACAACTGGGAAGAAAGAAACTACTGTGAGAGCAAAGTCTCATTCCACGCTGTCATTAGTGTGGAGAAGAACATACCAGAGGGATTAATGGAATGTTGATGACAACACACATGGTGCAGGAAACACTCTGGGCTCGGGGAATATTAGGGACAATGCCAGAGGTGGAAGTGGGAGCTCTGGAATCCCTCCAGCATCCTTTGCTTCAGTCTCCAGGTTCACGTTTCTCATATTTGCAGACTTAGTAGGAATTCCTGTGTTAAACACAGACACACAAAATAAACAAAATGGTTTAGCTGAGGAAAAAACAGGTCCTCGGGTCAAAGGGTATAAAATTAGTCTGTGTTATCCTGCATGAGCTGCCCTGGGGAATTTATTGGGTGAAATACATGGAGGCTAATAGAACATTCCAACAATACCTTGTTTTATACAGTGCTTTAAATCTCAAAGTATAATAATAATAATAATTTAAATTAAAGACTTCCTCCTGTTCTGCAGAATATTTGTAAACTGTGAGGTCAGATTAGATATGAGAATGAATCAGTGTAAGAGATTAAACCAAAACAGATCAACTGTTGCTTCTGGTTTTGAAGCAAAACATTTTTCCTTGAAACATTTCATGGCTTCAAAGTCAAAACAGCTCAAAGAAAAGGATTTGGTTTGATAAACTTCACTTAATCAAATGATGTAGCCACAGGTGGGACTTGTGAACACTGTGTATGAAATATCCCGTTATTGTGACTGAAGTCTGAGAGAATCATGGAAAATGGGAGACATTCAAAATGAAACCACTATGAAATTATTTTTTTTTTTTTACAGCCCTCAGCAAACTGAAAATCCTAAATTCACAGAATCACAGCATGGTTTGAGTTGGGAGGGACCTACCACCTTCCACTAGACCAGGTTACTCCGAGCTCTGTCCAACCTGACCCTGAATTTATCAACCAAATTAACTAAATATATTATCCCACTAAAATTAAACAGACATGCTTGAGCAAGATGTCTGAGGACACGATATTTTCCAGTCCTAACTGTAGAAAGAAACCGAAACCTTTAAAATGTATGCACACTTTCAATCTCGATTTTCACTTACGGGTAATGACATCACAGCCATTTATTTATTTTTCCTTCTTGCTGTTGCTTCAACCTCCCCAAACCCATGGCAGGAGAGCAAATCTAAACAACAGATTTGGGGACTGAAACCAGTTCTATTAACCAAGAACTTTTTATTATACGGGCTACCAGTGCCCTCTGTTGGGTACCTGGGAGTGCTCGAGCACTGCAGGAACTATTCATATGGGAAATGCCTGCATTTTTTGGAGCAGTAAGAAAAATCCTGCTCTTTTTATTTATATTTTTTTTTATTTATTTTTGCAGGGGAAAAAAAAAAGCCCATCCATTTCCAACCCCCTGCCATGTGCAGGGACACCTTCCACCAGGCCAGGGTGTTCCAAGCCCCGTCCAACCTGGCCTTGGACACTTCCAGGGATGGAGCATCCACAGCTCCTCTGGGCAACCTGTGCCAGGGCCTCCCCACTCTCATAAGGAGGAATTTCTTCCTAATATTCCATTTAATCCCGTTCTCTGTCAGTTTGAAGCCGGTCCCCCTTGTCCTGGCACTACATGCTCTTGTGAACAATCCCTTTCCATCCTTCACTTTACACACACTGGGAAATCGAGGGAAACATTCATATTTATAACAAAAACAAACAAACAAAGCCACATATGGCCAATTCCTCAGGAAAAACAAAGATCAGACAATGCCACAATCCCTCCCAAGTACAACACCGAGCTGGCCCTCGATGCTCCTCGGGGGCTCCCTCCCCGCTCGGGATACCCCGATTCTAAAAAGCTGTAAGGGAACAGCCACGTCTAAGCACACGGGGCAACGTTTTATTATCGCTATTTATTCAACCGCGATTGGCTTTCTCGCGGCCCCCGGGGCTGCCAGAGCTCAGGGGGCGCTCGGACAACGCCCTCAGCGGGCAGGGTGGGACTGCTGGGGAGCCCCGTGCGGGGCCAGGGGGTTGGACTGTGAGCCTTGAGGGTCTCTCCTGACTCAGGATATTCTGCGATCGTGCGACTTTGAGCGGGGTTCGGGCCGTGCCCACGCCGGGCTCCCCTCACGGCCCCACACCCGCCATGGCGGCCCCGGGAAGCGGAAGGGGCCGCGCGCCCCCGGCTCCTTCCCGGAAGCGCCGCCCGCGCCGCCATCTTGGCTGGGAGCCGTGAGGGGACCCCGGCCGGCCCTGCCCGCCCCGCCGCCATCGCGGCCCGTCCGCTCTCCGCCCGCGTCCCGCCCTCCGCCCGCCGGCTGGAGGGGCCGCCCGGGGCCTGGCGGGCACGGAGAGGTGAGCGGGGGCTGCCCCCGGCGGGACTGGCCGGCCGGCTGCCTCTTCCCCCCCTGCCTCTGTCTGTCCCTCAGTCCCTCTTCCGCCTTCTCCCTCCATCCCTCCCTCCTCCTCTCCCTCCGTCCCTGCCTTTCCCCCCCTTGTCTTCTTTCCTTCTTCGCTTCTCCCGGTCCCGCTGTGTTGCCCAGGTGAGAAATCGCCTTTGCGGTCGCAGCCCTTTTATTTTCCGTGTTTAAGATCCAAATATCTCTTCCAGGTAAGGCTTTGAGGCGCGTTCGAATCCCAGGGACCGCACTTGAAGCGTTAAAATGTTTCGGTTTGCGTTTTCGCAGCACGTACTGAGGGCTTATTTCAAATTATTATGAATATTGTTATCACGTACTGAGGGCTTATTTCAAATTATTATTGCCACTGCTACTTCGGTTTATTACTGGAAAACGTCAGAGGAAATAGTCGAGTCGGAATAAAAAGATATTAATAAATTCATATTTCAAAGTCAAAGCTGGCTTCTCTGGGGAAAAAAAAAATCTGAATTTTATGATTTCGAGAGGTGTGGCTTCAAAAAGAAACCTCTTATGTTTTAAGCATTGATTTACAGCAGTTCTGACAAAAGGCAGGTTAAACGGGTTTATTCTGAGGAGAGTGGAATATTTGACCCCATACAACTGTTGCTCGTGGTTTAAATGTTATTTCTTTAATAAATCTTACTTGGCTGCTTGTTTGTAGAGAAGGAATAGAAGGGGTTGTAGGAATTTAATATGTATTTCATGCCATATTGTGGGCATTGTCTTGTCTCTTTATACGAGCTGTTTGTAAAATCTTTCCTTTTTATTCTGTGTTTGAAGCCAAGTAATTCCCTCAACTTCTTAGAGGAAAGTGAGTTAAACAGCAGTTCTTAATTAGTGTGTTCTGTAGGTGCTTTATAAGGGCTAATTTTTTCTTTGTCTTGCAAACCCCGTGGAATTTCCTCCCCTCACCCTGACTTGTCTCCCTTTGGATGGGATTTTATTTCTCTGGATGAGAATAATCAGGCTCAGGAGTTCCCTTCTGGATATTCAGGCCTTAGCAGGCAGCAGATTTAATTCCAAGTCATTCACTTCAAGTCAGCAATGAGATTATTTTGGTTTTTTTTAGATAACTGGATGTCTAGAAACACCAGGTGAATTTAAAATATGGGTAAATTTGTGGAATAGGTATCAAAGCTGAACAGGGAAGATTAGTTACTCAAAGAGACCTTTAGAATATAGAAGGATCATCCAGTACAGATGTCTCTTGGGACTGTGTTAGTGAAGAACTTGCCACTTAAAAAAGTGAAGGTAGTTCAATTTATATTTTAAATATAAAGTGGACTGTGCAAAAAGCAGTGTCCCGTGAGTTACTGCAGCTCTTTGTCTGTTAATACTGCATTTTTATATTTTTTTTTAATTAGATGAGCAACAACAGTAACAAGAGAGCACCAACCACAGCGACCCAGAGACTTAAACAAGACTACCTGAGAATTAAGAAAGACCCAGTGCCTTACATCTGTGCAGAGCCCCTCCCATCCAATATCCTCGAATGGTAAGAGTGGGAATCAGGATTGGGATCGCTCGTGGAGAGAACAAGATTTTCCAGGTCATCAAGTCCTGCTCCTTCGCTCCTCAGTGTGGGACTCTCGGTGTGGGGAGGTGGAGGAGGAAACTTGGGCTGAATGATTAGATCCTTGGGTTTTTTTAGGGATACTGGGGGCTGATTGTGTGCTGGATCCACAGTGTTTCCCATTCCCTTCTTTTCCCAGGCACTACGTTGTGAGGGGACCTGAAATGACGCCCTATGAAGGTAAAAGCTCGATTAAATGGGATTAAATGTTGGTTTGAATGGGGAAAACACAACTACTGAGAACAGCTCCAAAACCTGTCAGTGCAGTCCCAAAGCTGTGGGAAAGCCTGTTGGAAAGAGATGGTGATGCTGCTGTCAAGGTGTCTGTTATCAAGGGGTTCAATAAAATAAAACTGAGGTGAAGATGAAGGCAAAGATCTTCCTATTAAATTGCTTTAGGTTTTGGAGCAGACAGCTCACTTTGGAGAGTATGTGAGCAAGATAATTTCAAAAAGTCCCGTTTTGTTAGCACAGAAATGTTCTTGGGGAACTGAGACATAACAGTTCTCTTTATGAATTTCCATGGAGGAAGCTCGAAGTGTAAAAGCCTTGTTCATCTGTTGTAGTCACAGTGTCTCCTGGAGCCTCTCAGAAATGCTTTTTTGATTGGGATTCTTCGTAGGGTTGTGTTTGCACTTAAATTTCTGGAAAAAATAACCCAGTTTATTGTATTAAATACACTTTGGCTGGTTTTTCTTCAGTGTATTCCAGACTTGGCAGCAGCAAATAACTGATTGTAAGAGAGAATGTGAGAGAATTGCCTCCAGAGTCAATCTGGTGCAGGTTTGGGTTATCATTGCCTTGTTTTAGAGGCTCAAGGTGAAGAGTTTGATCTCAGTGAGAGGGGGAGAAGGAGACAAGCCCGGGGGTTTATTTGGCCCATTTTGAGTAGCAGTTTAGGACTTAATCTTCATGCAAAATAAGTAACTCCTCTCTCTGTGTAATGCAGGTGGCTATTATCATGGGAAACTAATATTCCCCCGAGAATTCCCTTTTAAACCTCCTAGTATTTATATGATTACACCTAATGGAAGGTTTAAGTGTAACACAAGGTAAGGACCTTTCTCTAACACTTAAGCAATTAACACCATTTCAGCACTGTGCCTAATGTGTGTGCTGATTTTAATGGCAAACCCAAACCTCTGGCTGTGTTTTTGAAGGTTGTGTCTTTCCATCACCGATTTCCACCCGGACACATGGAATCCAGCTTGGTCAGTCTCCACGATCCTGACGGGCCTCCTTAGTTTCATGGTGGAAAAGGGCCCCACCCTGGGCAGCATAGAGACATCTGAGTTCACAGTGAGTTCAGAGGGGCTGGGGGACCTTGGGGCGGCTTTGGCAATGGGAAAACAGCAGCAGCAGCAGCTGGAATTTTGATATCTCAGAAATAAACAGCGTGGTTGGGATTTCGTTCCTCCTTCCTTCCTCTTGGTGTGTCGGCCAAGCAGTCAGGCTGATACAAAACCCTAATCGCCCAGGGTGAAGAACTGAGAACATCATTGATGTCTGTAGATGTGTTGTAGTGAAAAATGTTCACAAGTGTGATGCTGTAAATGACAGGAAGCAGTTGGGCTGGTGGTTTGCACCCATCCTGGGGGAAATCAGGTGTTGAGTTGGAGGAAATGAATTTCCGTGCAGCTGCTGATAATGTTTGTTTCCTCCACAGAAAAGACAACTCGCTGCACAAAGCTTAGCATTTAACTTAAAAGACAAAGTCTTCTGTGAGCTTTTCCCTGAAGTGGTGGAGGTAAGGGAGTACAATACTTTGGGTTTTTTTGGAGTTCTTCAGCTTCTCTGTGGAGCAGACTAATTGTTCAGCTTCTCACTTGCAGTCCTTTCAGAGCACCCAAAGCTCCATGGCTTTCACTTGCAATCCTTTGAGAACACCCAAAGCTCCATTAGAACACCCAAAGCTCCACGACTTTCCCTTCCAACCACTCAGGCCTCTTCTCTCTCTCTCCCTCCAGGAGATCAAACAAAAACAGAAAGCACAAGAAGAGCTCAACAACAGACCTCCCTCGCTGCCCCTGCCCGACGTGGTGCCCGACGGGGACGCTCACTACGGCCAGAACGGGATCCCCCTCCTGAACGGGCACGTGGCCCTGGCCCCCGCCAACCCCCCGGGGCTGCAGCAGCCCAACCGCAACCACGGACTCTTGGGCGGAGCTCTGGCGAACTTGTTTGTCATCGTCGGCTTCGCGGCCTTTGCCTACACAGTGAAGTACGTGCTGAGGAGCATAGCCCAGGAGTGAGGAGAGCAAATAAACCCCGAGACCAAATTTGTAGCGCTAGTTGGCAAGAGTGAGTGGGACTCTTTTTTTGGGGCATCTGGCTCTTGACGCCGGCAGAGAGGTTGGTTTTGGCGGGGGTGAGACCTTGGCTGGGCTCGTGGGAGTTTGGAGTAGTTTTGGTTAGGCAGAAACTTCGCTGCTCTCTGGTAGTTTCTCACACAAGTCAAAGCATTATTGATGAGACACTACATTTCTAGTGCTTTGATTTTTTTTTTTTTTATAGCAGTTCTCCATCTGTTCGTTGGAAATCGGGAAATCTCGAGCAAATAAGGCTTTTTACTTCATTGTACAATTTTTAAAACTCCACCATTTACTGCATATCGTTTTATTTTCAGTAGGGAAGAGTCTGTCCAGGTGTTCAGTGATTCAAGCAGAGATTCCACGTGGACTTGGGAAGGGTTTGGTTAATGTGAACATTTGATGCTACAGAAAATTGCTGGTTTCTTTTTTTTTTTTTTTTTCCAACTAGAATGACCATCATTGCATATCTAGTCAGTAGTGATTAGATGAGTGGGAACATAACACCACAGTGTGTTAAATGTGTTGTCTAAATTGTCCCAACGTCACTGAAGGTTTTATTTGGGCTACAAGAAGTGCAGTTGTTGGCCTTCAGCAAGGGGAAAAAAAAAAAAAAGCCTTGGAATCAGCCTCTAGTGGGAATTACCCATATCCAGGGTCGTTTGGGATTTGTTCACTTACAGATTTTCATTCTGGGAGATGTTCTGTTGGAAAGTTGTAATAGTTCCTTCTGATCACAAGGGGCCACTGGTGAAACAATAATAAAACTGCACCCACCAATGGAGAGAGTTGACTGTGTGTTCCAAAAATCTCTGCATTCCTTAGGCTGTGGGGATTGAGGGAACCCCAGCCCTCGGGAAGGGAAAAAGGCAAAGGAGTCTCAGTAACAAACCAGCTTCCTCAGAGTCAGCTGAATCCATCTGAAGTGTCACTGCCTGAACTAACCCTTCAAATTAGTTCCACTTTGCTCACTCTTGGAAAAAAAAAAAAGACTCTTAAAAAACCCACCACCGCCAAAAGCCAACCCCAACATTCACCTGGGGATTCTGGAAGCTTTTAGCTGTCAGTTCATCACTGTTCCCCTTCAGGTGTCTGACAAACGAAACGCTGCTGTTTGTTCCCAGGCTTCCAGCACTGGGGGGAAACACTGAAGTTGAGGAGTCTGTCTGAAATTACTTTTTCTCCCTGCTGCTTGAATTTTCCCCAAAAGCTTTGCTCCAGCAGAGGCAAACTTGCTGTGCCTTTCAGAGCTGGCAGTGCTGCCTGGTCAGCTGGGGCAGGACACGCTGTCAGTGCTACAACAACTGTCCCAGGTGGTGGCAGGGATGAAAGCTCTGCACTCACTGTATAGTCTTATTTTAAGTGTTCTAAAGAGCCCAAATAAATATTACCTCATGTGTCTAAGAATGTTTTGGAACTGTCTTATTTCCCCTTTCAGATTTTCTCTCTCTCTCTCTCTCTCAGCTTCTTGGTATCTTGAATTATAAGCAGAAATGTTCCTTCATGTCAACCCATGAGCCAACAGCTCAGAGCACCAGTAAAATGTGACCAATTCTCTGCAATAGGTAGGAATTACCAAAATTAGCAGAACAGCTCTTTACTAAAGAAACCTTAAAGCAGTTCTTCCTGAGGTGAGGAAGGGAAGGAGTCAGGGTTTGCAAGGATAGGATTTGGAAAAGGCTGGATTTTAAAGCGTATTTATAAAATCTTTGAGTACTTTTTTTTTATTATTATTATTATTATTCTAATTATTTTATGGTTTTACCAAATCTTATTTATAACTTTTTTTTTTCCCCCCATTTACCTCTTGTATGTGCTTAATCCTAGAAACAAGCTGCGTGGGTCTGGGGTTGGGGGGGTGTGCTGGGCAGGAGGGGGCAGTGCCATGGCTTTCCTGCAAGGCTGGCATTTTGGGGATGGCTGATGGTTTTTTTCTCGTGGCTCTTTGCACCCCTCAAACCCCTCTGTGTCCTTGCAATGCCTTTTTCCTGCCGTTGCCAGGCAGCAGCTTAGGTTGGTTATCCACGTTTATCTTCTCTTCTGGAAGTTCTTTATCCATGAAAACCAAGGCAAAGGCAAGGAGACCTTGGGCAAGGGGGTGTTTGCAGCTTCTGTGACCTCACCAAGCTCAGAGAAAAACAGCCAGAGGTGGTGAATTAAAAGCTTTTTATTCCATGAGACAAGAAGTTGGCCTTGAGCTGCACCTGAGCACGTGAAGGTGGGTCTCTTGTCTGCAGGAAGTGCCACAATTAGAAACAAAACCCCTCTTGGTCAAACCCTGGACATGCTGCGTTGGTTTTTTTTCTTTCCCCTGAGGATTGGTTGTGTTTAAAAACCCAAAACTTCCACAATTGCAGTTTTTCTCTGGAGTACTCTGGATTTGGAGAAAGACCTGCCAGCCACTCCAGGTGCCATTTGTTGGAAGCTGGGAGCAATCCCTGACCCCCTTGCAGCATTTTGATCTGTCTCCTTGCCTTTGGCAACACCAGATTTATCCCTCTTTGTGTAGGTTTTACTGATTTATGGGGTTTTTTTAAGAATTTCTAACAGTGCAGTATCAGATCTTTTTGTCACCCAAGTCATTCGATGGAGGAGCCCAGGCAGAAATATTCCCATGCCCTGAGCACTTCATCACTTGATGGAATCAAATCAAAAGCTCTCCTTACTTACATGATCTTGGAACAAATCTGGCCCTTGACTTGAAAGATCTCTCATTATTTTATTTTTTTTTTTAAATTCTGGATTTTTGTGTAGTCATCACCTTCCTTTCCTCCCCCCACCCCGAGATTTCAAGGTCATGGAAGTTCCCTTGCTGATGAGCATGTACTGAGGAGTGGGAATGACTGCATTGTAATGTTTGTTCATAATAAACATTCATGAGAAAACCAATGCTTCCTGTGGGGCTTTTTGGGAAAGGGAGGAAACTGGAATGGATATATGGATGGTCTTTTCTCCAGCGGGGCAAACTCATCATTTGTAATTCCAAATTGTTGTTATTCCCTTGAGAGCCTCGTGCTTCTCCAGGTGTTTTTTGACTGTCTCTAAATAATTTTGGCCCATTAGTGGCTTATTTTGTAACCCACTCGGGGAGGCAAACACTGAACAAGGTGATCCTTCCTTTGCTGCAAAGCAGGAAAATCGTGTTTTCAGTGGAAAAATCGCACAAAAGGGAGTCTGTGGAGCGGGAACTCAGTGAAAGGGTTTTCTGGGCAAGGAAAGAGGATGGTTCATGAGCGTTTATTGGGAATTGTATCAGCGGGAAAAGCTTTGCCCCAACAGGGTTATTTCCCACCTGGTCGCTGCGAGAGAAACCCTTGGAGGAACAGCTAGTGGGGTGTGTTTATTTCCCGGTTTTTTCCAAGTGTTTTGGCGTTTCCGTGGATTTGCCACCAGATGGCGAAGCTATCCCGCGCGGGTGGGGATCCAGCGGGCCGGGAATGCGGGGCTGGAGAGGCTCTGGCACGTGGGGTGCGGGCACCGCAGCTCCCACCCCAAACCCTGGGTGCGCCTTCCCAAAGCTGCTCCTTTGTTCCTTGGTGTGTCCAGGTTCGTTCTAACAGCTTCAGGAACCGTGGAATATCCTGAGCTGGAAGGGACCCACAGGGATCATCCAGTCCAACCCCTGGCTCTGCACAGACACCCCAACAATCCCAGCCTGTCCCTGAGGTTGTCCAAACCCTCGTGGAGCTCTGGCAGCCCCAGGCCGTGCCCAAACCCTGGGGAGCCTGTGTACATTAATCAACAGCCCGAGGTTATGTTGGATTATCACCGAATCCCAGAATGGTTTGGGTGGGAAGGACCCAAAAGATCATCCAGTTACACCCAGAGACACCTTCCACTATCCCAGGTTGCTCCAACCTGGCCTTGGACACTTCCAGGGATGGGGCAGCCACAGCTTCTCTGGCCAACCCGTGCCAGGGCCTCCCCACCCTCACAGGGAAGGATTCCTTCCACGCTCCAGACCTTTATCTGGGATGAAGCAGGAATGGGAGGGGGTGTGTCAGCCACTGTATTGGCTTCAAAAATCCCCATCTTTGTGCCAGGGCTCAGGATTTGTTCCTTTCATCTACAGCAGATAACTGGGGGAATCCCAGCATTTGCCCTTTTGCCCTTTGGATATTATTCCTGGCACAGCCAGGTAAGGCCTATCTTGAGTGAAATCACATCAGTGCAGACTGAAAGATCAGATCAGGAGTTCCTTGCCTGACTCTTCGGTTCCCTCTCTGGCTCTGGGCACACTTACGGTGTTTGCAAACGCTCTCTTTGGGTTCTCGCACGGTTTGGAAATCTTAACGTGGCTTCTTAAAACATCTTCCCCGCTTCCAAACTTTCCTCGTGCAGGATTGATGGTGTTATGTTCTTAATTATTCCTGCAGTGGTGCTGAGCTCCAGGGATAAACTGTTTGCCTTTCATGGAATCATTTAGGTTGGAAAAGACCTTGAAGATCACCGAGTCCAGCTGTCGATGCATCACCCTGGTCACTGCTAAACCACGTCCCCATAGGCCACTCCCTGTGGGTGCCACCACAGTGTCACCACAATGTCCCCAAGACCCTCCTGGCTGCCCAGGGCCACCCCTGCGTGTGCCACCACGTCATTGTCCCACGTTTATAGCCGCAACCAGCAATACCTTCTCCTTGGATTAGTCAGGATTGATTCCCCCCCAGTCCGAGAAGATGTTGGGGAAGGGGCTGGCAGGGCCGGGAGCTGCAGCCCAGCCCAGTTAAGCCCAGCCTGGTTAAGCCCAGCCCAGCCCAGCCCAGCCCAGCCCTGGCTGTCCCTGCCCGCCGTGGTGTGTGGAGCTGTCAGGCTGTTTAGCTGGGATATGACAGATTGTCCTATTAATGTGTCATCAAGTGCACTTTTACAAATTCATGGCTTGTCTACAACTAACCTGAAAAAAAAAGAGGCTTAAGTATGAGAAGGCGCCAAAGAAAGTTAAATATTATTAACAAATAAAGTCTGCCACGTAGTTTTGATGGAATGTGAGCTGGTTGGGGGAAAGGGGGGGAGATGTGCTGTTAACTCTTGAGCTGCTGGGTAACGTCCCTTCTAACTTTGTTCTCTTTCCTAAACTCCATTTCTCCCCAAAGATGTTCTAAAAACATTTAAAAATCCGGGCTCTACTCGTTGATTTTTGCCAGCTCGGGTTGTCTGTGCCTCAGTTTCCCTGAGCCATACTAATAGAACTTTGCCTCAGACCCACCAATCTTTATTCTGCCTCTGCATTTTTGCAGCTCGGGTTCTTTGTGCCTCAGTTTCCCCGAGCTTTGCTCCTGGTCCACCCCTGGCTGCAAAATCCGAGGGCTGTGCTGACGGTTGTGACTTGGATTACAGAAGTTATGGTCGAGGAACTGCCAAAATAAAGCAGATCTCTTCCTTGCTGGCTGCACGAAGGACTTCAAGCGACGTGATCTTCACCCTTTCATCATTCCTGGGCTTTCTCACGGCGCAGCCTCGGGGAGATCTTTGCAAGTGGGAAAACCTCTGCAGGAAGAACAGGACTATCTGTTCTGGGAGGTGGGGAACTGGTGCAGCTTTGCAGTGTCCACGAACATCAAGATCCCCTCCTGAAGCGCTGGGGAACCTTTGGGTTCCTGTGATTTTTAACAGACAGCCCCCCCCAAACCTGAGCCACCCTCTAATGGGAGCTGGGGGGGGAAAATAGGGAAGAGACAGGGAAACCAGGCAGGATCCCGGTTATCCCGGTGTGTGATGCCGAGGGCTTATTCCAAGCCACATATTTTCAGCTCCACCACACTGCTCCCGTGCAGCTTTAGAAACTTCCCAGAAAAATGGTGATTTCTCCGAGATAATGAAGGGGAGGGACAGAGCAGGGCTGAGGGGAGGGAGCAGGGAATGGGCACTGATTTAAATCTGCCTGGCACACGGGCCAGCTCCACTTATCAGGGAGTCTAATAGGAATGTGAAGAGAATAGGCTTGACAGCTCATTAGAATGTGATCCCTCCTCCTTTTTTTTTTTCCTTTTCTTTTCTTTTTTTTTTTTTTTTTTCCCCTCTCTTCTTTTCCTTTCCTTGAAGTTGATGGAAACTCATTCAGGAAAGGAGGACTTCTTTGCCGAGGTGAGGAGGGAGCTGAGGAGGGTTTTGCCAACGCGCAGCCGGGGAAAGGAGCGGCAGGAGGAATCAGACACTCCGAGGCACCTGAAATCCTGCCCGAGGCACCTGAAATCCTGCCCGCTGTGAGGGGAGATGAGGATGCAAAAGCCACGAGGTCCCGCACCCTAACAGCTGCTGCTCATCGTCCCAGGGAAGAGAAACTCAGCTAAAGAGGGAGACAAACCACACTTGGGGAAACTTTCCCCGCTCCCAGGGGACCCGGGAACATCCTCAGACTGTTTATTTCTCCTTGTTTTATGTTTAACGGTATGAGAGGTTTCTCTGCTCCCGGCAAGGCTGAGCACTTGGCTGAGCTGTGATGCCTCCAGCCCTTCCAGAGGAGCACTGGCTGTAGCAACCCTGGATTACAGCTCCCCAGCACCCTGGGAGGGGAGGATGAGGACTTGTCACTGAGGGAGGGGGGAAGGATCATCCCAGAGGGAACGGATGGAACGCTCTCCAACCTGCTCGGAACGGAACACGGTGCTTGGAAGTGACAGCAAGTGGGACCTCCTGGTGAAGAGGAGCAACCAGAGCACCCCCTGATGAGTTTGAGTTGCCAGCTCTGGCCTGAGCAACTGTTGCCCAGAGCACTTTTTGACTTCTCATAGTTGAGCGCATTTAAAACGAGTCTGAAGACTTATTTGGGGTGTGTGGGGGGGGGAAAGGTAAAGGGGAGAGCAACCCTTCAAGGTGGGTGGCAGGACTTTTCAGGGCCTCTTGTATTTATGTAAAGCTCCCAGAGGCTGAATGGACTTACCTCCTTCTCCGAGTGAATCCAGATTTTAAACAAGTTTATCTGTTACCATTTCCACGTGTCCTGCTTGAACAGAGACCTCTCAGCAACCAGCACACCCAACTCTTGCTGCCCATCTGACATTGCACAGCCCAGAGGATCTCCTTTAGCACTTCTGACCCTGTTCATTGTTTTATTTTTTGTAAGAGAGGAATCTGTCGCTTTATTGGTGGCGAGGGTGTTGTTTTTTCCCCTTGTGCTTGGACTTGGCCCCTCCCTCCCTTCCCAAAATGAAGGGGTGCACCTGGGTGTTTGTGGCAACTTTACTCTGTCAGCAGTTTTGCCTCTTCAGGGTTTCAGCAGCAAAGAGAGAGAGGAAGGTGAAGAAAGAACCTAATCAGTACACAGAGCCCTTCAACACCACCCTGTCCAACAGCGAGGAGCTGCACGGGCATCCCAAGGTGGGTGTTTGAGCCTTGCCAGAGCTTATTCCTGCCAGCAGAGCCGGTGCTGGCTCCTTTTCCCAGGGATTTAAGGCAATCTTGCTAAAATCTGTTTGATTTTACAGAGGAACGTTCCTTTTTTTTTTTTTTTTTTTAATTTGGTTTTCGTTTTGCCTCTGCATGATTGATTTTCTGGCTTTGCTGGAGCAAACACTGGAATACTACGATTTATGGTTGGTTTGGAACACGCATGACTGAAGCTCCAGTCCCTTTGTAGCTGGTTAAGGGTAAAGACATTTTAGAGTTCTGATGTATGAACAGTGTCGGGAACAACTCAGAATTCAGCCAAGTGGGCTATCACAGCAATGATGCTGAGATTTTAAAGTGTCTCTTGCAGGCAAAGGCTTAACTCTCTGAAATGTTATTTTTTTAAGCAAAACAAAACACCATAAACACCTCAGAATGCCAGAGCTGCTTTTTTTTTTTTCTGTACAGGAGAATGTGGCTGAAAATCAGAGCTGGGAAAGTTTTGGGCTGCAGTCAGGTGATGTGTTTAGGGTGGTTGTGGCTCGCAGGAAAGGGTTCAGGATGGTTTTTAGTTGTGTGTAAACGGGAAGTGAAGCCTTTGTGTGTGTACATGTGTGTGTGGTACCTCTGTGGCTGCAGCTGGTGAGTGAATTTGGCAGGGTAGGATCCCTCCAGTTCGGGAGAACCACCCAGAAAATTTCCCCTCGGTTGCTCAGAGCCCCCAGAATCCTTTGGGATGGATATTTTGCACAGAATGCTTGGGAAGAAGAACCCTTGGGAACAGCAGAGGGGCTCAGAGAATTAAGAGCAGGTTTTAGGATTAGGAGCAGGATGAAGCGGGAGGGAGATTTAAGCGAGTGAGGAGGAAAGGAGTCTCCCCTGTGACACAGGCTCTCTCTCCACCCCCCTGCTCACACAAAAATGTCCCTTGTCAGGACAGAGTGACCTCTCCAAGAGGACTTTGATCAGCAGCATTAGGGCTGGCAGTCTCTATAGCAATGGAGGGGCAGACCTGCCGGGAACTGGGGCATGGCCGAGGGGGCAAGCTGGAACAATTGGGCTGACATCCCAAATATCCCGCTCCGGCCTGTTGTGAGAGTAATTGGTTAAGGTTGGGCAGGTCTGGGGGAATAGTCCTGCAGTAGAAAAGCTGGCTGTGCCCTCAGAAGTGTCCTCAGGGGCCAGGAGCAGCCTTCCTGCAGCTCCTTTTTGTGTGTGTGTGTGTTGCAGGGCTCTGTCAGGACAGGTTGTGCACACACACTGGAATTCTTGAGGTGCTCATAATCAATCACTTCTGCTCTCCCCACAACTGCCCTTGCGGGGGGGGGGGGGGGCACGTGCAGATCCCGTGCAACTCAACTGCAGTTCCCTCTGGAGTTAATTTTGCCTTGATGGGAAGTGTGTCTTGGACCACGAGCAGGATATCTCCTGATTGCACAAACAAGCAGGGACTGGTCCTGGTTAATTCTGACACAGCCACACATCCAGTGGGGGCTGGAAAAAAAAAAAAAAAAACAACCAAAAACACACAAAAACCAAAACACAAGAGGCTCGTGGGCATTCATTAAAGCAGACATTGTTTGGGAGCCGCAGTTTCTGTGTTGAAATGCTTTGCTTTAGCATATCCATGGCAAAGGTTTGGCTGCAGGACGAGCTCAGCTCCGGCAGGTTCTGTTTAGGAAGGAGGGGACAACCCCAAACCTTTGATGTCAATCGCTCCCAAATTCTGCAGGGGGTGAATTTTTCTCCTTTGGCATCCCTTGGATGGTGAAGTGGTGCTTTTAAACCCTGTTTTTTTGTGTGTTTTATGTTCATGCAGCACCTGCCACGGGGGCTCGGGGGGGGATTTACACCAGCTGTAAATGCAGTGCTCGAGAACTGCCACCATTTCTGGGGAAAAAGTCGCTTTTTTTACAGCAAACCATCACCATTATACTCACTAAGGGAAGAAGTAAACTAACAGTTAAGGTGTCTTTACCTCATGTGAGGTTGTTCTCTGTGGAAAGCTGATCTTTTAGAGCCTTGAAGGTACCTCTGAGAGCAGTTTTGTGTCATGAGAGGATGCCCTGCACAGGAAAATGAAGCAGCAGCAGTGTCCCATTTAATCCTCTGCAGCACATAACAGGAAAGATGGAATTTCTGTGGCCTTGAGCAGTAAAAATTAAGGCTGTGTTTACCTTGGAAGACTCTGTGGCCAACTGGTAGGTTTATCAGAGCAGGGAGTGAATTATGAGCTGGGAGTAGTGATTTTTTATTCCTACTGTTGAAAAGGTAGATGTGTTTTCCTTCTAATTAAGCAAAACAGCTTGGGACAAAAACTCTCTTGGGAATTCTTTTAAAATAGGAGTGGAGAAAGCTCCCCTTTAACATTCACAGCCCATGAGTCATGTGGTGAAACCTCTGCTAAAACAGGGAAGCAGAAGCCTCAAATCTGATAAACCTGCTAGTTCCGTGGAAATAGTGAGTCTGTTGGGGTTTTATTTATTTATATTTTTTTTTAAATAGGTTTTCTCCAATCTTATCTTCGAGCTGCTGACAGGGGGGGATGTGCTTGCCAAGCACATGAGAGTTTCCTCCTCTGACACAGATGGACTAAAAGAGAGGGGGAGAGCAGAACAGGAGGGAGGGATGCAGAGGTTTTTGGATCTGCTGGATCTTCTCCCCTGTGACTGCGTTTTTGGCTGGGCACCTGCAGCTGCCACTTGCCAGACTTGCCTTCAAATGGGAGCTCTTAAGAGCAAGGAGGGGTTGGATCCCAGAATCCCAGAGTGGTTTGGGTGGGAAGGGACCTCTGGAGCTCATCCAGTCCAACCCAGGCAGGGTCACCCAGAGCTGGTGGGTTTGGGATGTCCCCAGAGAGGGAGACCTTCCCTGGGCAGCTGTTCCAGAGCTCTGCCACCCTCATGGAAGGAAGTTCTGCCTCATGTTGAGGTGGAACAAGCTGCTGTGTTTCAGTTGATGGCCTTTGCTCCTCGTCCTGTCTCTGAGCAGAGTTTGGCACTGTCCTCTTGACACCCCTGGGAGATATTTGGATGGATATGAGCAGGACAACCCCTGGCTGTCCCTTCCAGCTGGAATCCTGCCTCTGTCAGAGCCTTGCTCTACCTGCTTGACTACTGAAACTCCCCTGAATTATTTCCTGGGGTGTGGGGGGTCTTTTTCTTCCAGTTGAAAGCAGGATCTGGTTCCGTGACGTTGCCCAGACAGATTTCTCCTCTGGACAGAGATTTCGCTCTGAGCCTGCAGGGTGTGATTGCAGGTGGGATGGAGAATGGCCTTTTGGGGCCTGACAGGTGTTAAAACCAGGGGAGAAACCTGCCTTTGACCCACCTTTACCAGATGTTTGTTGTTCTCTCTGGTTTTATATCTGACAGGCATGTCTTGCTCTGGAGTATCATCAGCAGAATACACTGAGTATTATGAACAAATAACACAAAATCCCAACAATTCCTTGTGGCCCACGTGAAACCCCGTGGAAAACAGGGTGAGAAACGTGCTGTTTTCTCACCCAGAATGACCTGCTCCGGGAGAGTCGTTAAGCTCATTAAGGGTGTGAGCACTGCAGACTGTTTGTGGTTTTGAGCGCAGGGAGAAGTTGCTGGAGGAGCAGAATGTAGTTTTTAATCACCGAGCAGAGTGGGAATTTCGGTAGGAATTCCCTTTTGAATTTGGCTAAGGTGCCAAACCTAACGCTTCTGCTCTGGGGGGGGGGAATTCTTGAGAGATCTTTAAAACCCACGAGTGGTCAGGACCTTGGTTTCACATCTCATTAATAACCAGGAGTGTGCAGAACTGTGAGTTATTAGCAGCTGACACAGGGGCTTTTCATGCTTGAAATAAGAGTGCTCTGTCACTTTGTGTCCTGGTCCAAGTAAAACACCCTCCTGAAATAAATAATTTATTTTTAATTTCATAATGAAGCCGCCAATACTCTTGCTGGTGGAAATCGGGGGTAACGAGACAAAAATGTGTGTATTAAGAAAATTGAAATGCTTAGTCAAGCCCATTTTTGGGGCCTGGAAATGAAATTAAAATTAAACAGAGAACTCTGAAATGGGATTTCCTCCCAGATGGACAAATTCACAGATAACTGAGCAGAACTGCAGGGCAGCCACTTCAGGCACAGACTGTGGACTGGAATGGTTTGGTGTCTGCTCTTGGGTACACTGATTGCAGGTGGAAAGGATGCTTTCCTCTCACAGAATTAGAACTTCTCGTGCTTGCTTTCCACCCTGACCCACTCTGAGGACACAGATTTTGGGTGTACAGATGTGCTCACAGGTGATGTTACCTCTTCTATCCACCCAGGCCCTGGAAGGACTTTTGTCTGCTTACAGTTGTTTGTTTTTTTTTTTTTTTAGACTGGATCCCAGTATCCTGGAATGTCAGGAAGGTCCAGGAGCAGTTCAGAAACTTCTCAGGATCCAAACTCTGCTCTTGGAGTGTGGATTTCGAGTGGTAGTTTCTTTGTGGGGCTGAACCCTGGGTGTCCCAGGCAGCTGGAGCCAAAGAGATCCCCGGGTTCTGTTTGTTCCCAGCACTTAAATCACACCTCAAATTGTCTCATTGTGAGGGAAATCAGGGAGAGAGCGAGCTAATTCCTGGAGTGAAAGGTGCCATTGTGTCCCTACTCCAAAATCAGCCTAAAGACCTGATTGCAAGTCCATTAAGCATTGCTGGCCAGGCTTCTGTTGGTTCTGGAGGTGCTGTTTTCCCTGGAATTACCACCAGAATTCCTCCTGGACTCCTGCAGGGTGTCGTTGCTCCTCAGGCACCATCCCAGGAGGGACAAATCCCCTCTGAGATTGCAGGGCTGTGCTCAGTCCCCTCTGATACCTGAGTTGGCTGCGAGGTCTCTCCTGGCTGCTGGAGGCTCCTGCTGCCAAGAAAAACAGAGGCTTACCTGCTTATTGCTGGGATTGCTCATGCATGCCATAGTAATTAAATAATAATACCACAAGGATGGAACATTCATTTTAGCTGTCAATCAGCCCTGTGCTGGAGGAACTGGGGAGTGCCACGAGTGTCTCGTGGAGGGAGTTGTGATTTAACCCAGCCACTGCAGAAGGATGGGATTTTTATTTTATTTTTAACTTTTTTTTTTTTTTTAAATCTTTTTCTATACTTCAGAGTGTTTTTTTTTTATTATTATTATTTCTGAGGGATAAACTGGTTTTATTTTCATTTTCTCTGCTGGCTGCTGTCACAGCACTGAGGGAACACGCTGCCTGAGCCAGGTGCTTCTGGTAATAAGTTGTTTCCTTCTGCTTTGTGAACTGATCTCCAGCTTCACCACACACTGTCAGTCCCCAAAAGAGGCACCTGCTGCCTTTGGGCAAATAATGAATCAGCTACAACAGCCAACCTACCAGAACCCCTTGGCTGAACACACAATTTATGGCTGGCTATGGATGTGGCGATGCAAGGAAAAAGTCTTGATTTTGGCACAGAAATAGTGAAACTAAACTGTCTTGCTCTTGGTTTTGATAGAGACTAAATTTTCGGGGAGAGTGTGGATAAAACCATAACCCTGATTAATTCAAGCAGAGTGAATATGGAGAAGTATCTCGGGATGTCCTCGATTTTGTGGAATTGAGGGAGTTGGCTCCACAGAACCTGAGGTGTTCAACAGCTCCTCTTGCTCCTCTCACCACACCCCCGATTTCTGGGGGGGCTGCTGGTGTTCTGCTGGTTTTCCACAGAGTTTTGGTGGCTGAGCTGTGGCAGAACTGCTGTCACACTTGCAGGAGCTTCCTACCCTTAATTCCTACCCTTGATGCCATCCCTTGTGCCCCAGGTTTGTTCAGCGGGGACCCACAACTCCTCTGCGGGATCTCTCTGTCCACTTGCAGCAACACAGGGAGCCAAATTTGCCAACAAACACCTTTTCTGTGGTCAGGCTCGGACTTTGGGGTTTCCCTGGGAGCTGTGTTTTCTCCTTTGTGCCCATCTGTCCCTCTGCAGCCCGGGATTTGAAAGCCAGGGAGCATTTCCAGGCTCCCTCCGTGCGTTTTCATCTCCCCGTGCCGCTCCTTTGAGCCACCTGATAAACCTCGGGTGCCAGTGGGGGAACAATCTCTGGCATCTGGGCAGGTTTGCTGTGGTATGTCTGAGCACTGGCAGAGGACTGAGAGTGCCAGCAGCTTGAGGGAGGTCTCTGAGGGACACTCAGAGCTCTTGGCTCTCACTGGTCTCTCGAGCACCCCCTCCATGCGCGTTGGCGCGGGGGATGTGGTTTAAACAGCAGTCTGGTGAGGACACTTTGCATTCTCTGAACCCGTGGAGTGGCCAGGCAGTGGTTTCAGTGTTTGCTCTTGTTGGTCTTCAGGTCCTGGAGTCTCCAGACCCCCGAATCACAGACCCCCGGCGCACCTGGATCTCCTTCGTGCACCGGCCGGACGACGGCAACACCTCCAAGAGGAGATGCAAAGGGAAGGACAAGAAACTGGTGGGTGGCTGCTGCTCGTGCTCAGGGGGGTTCTGGGTGCTCCAGCTTTCCCTTCCCGCCCCAGGGCGTGCTGAGTTTCCATTTGTTTGTGTTTGATTTCCCCCGAGTGTTTTTGGAGGAGTCTGAGCCAACAAGTGCCTCCTAAGATAAGGTGTGGGAATTCCACTGCAACACTCGGGTTTGGGCCGAGCCTTTTTTTTTGGCTTATTTTTCTGCTCAGCAGCAATAAAATTGCCCTCTGCCATTTTATTTTATTCTTTTCCTTCCACTAGATCGAGCCTCTCAAAGGATATACATTAATCAAGGCGTGGGCAAGGAGTTGATTTCAGATGAATGAGCTCCTGATCGTCTGCTGAGTGACTCTTAAATCACGTGGGCACTTTTAACCCGCTGCTAAGACAAGCAGAACTGCCTCATCATGGCTGAGGGGATTTTTGGTCTGTCCCTGGCTCTAATTCCCGTGTTTTGCTTTGGTTGCTCCCTCAGCGTGGCCTCGTTGGGCCCCCAGGACCTCCTGGCCCTCAGGGACCTCCGGGAGCCCCTGGAGCTGAAGTGACCCGGGAAGTCCTTCTGCAGGAGTTCAAGGAGATATTAAAAGGTAAAAAGCCTTGTGAGAGCTTTGTGCTTCTGGAAAGCACCGTGGCAAGCCCAGGGCTGGCTCTGCAGACGTTCCCTGGTGGCCTCAAAGGCCATGCCTTGAAACCAAACCTTTGTTCTCCTGTCCTTTTTCCTTTTCTTGTCCCCTCAGAAGCCATCGAGCGTCGAGCATCCCTGGCTATCTCAGCCCATCCCAGCCAGCTGCCTCCACTCCTGCTGTCCCTGGAGGAAGTGTCATCCCACAGGCGTGTGGAGGAGGCTTTCCACTGCAAGCTGAAAGGACAGGTCACTGTGGATAAGAAGACCCTGGTGGAGCTTCAGAATTTCCAGTCGGTGAGGAGGGATCAGAGGCTGAACCAGACCCCCAGCCCAGGGTGTGGAGCAGCTCCAGGGCTGCCTCTGCAGGGAAAGGCTCATCCCAGAAACCCCTCTCAGGCTTGGATGCCATGGATATAGCACTGCCTGGGTATTCTGTGATTCCATGAGCTGCTCTTTTTTTTTCAGTGCACACCCTGTTTAATTCCAGAGTAACATTCAGATGTAGGAAGATGTTGGAGGCAGACAGTTGGTTATTGGGTTTTTAGAACCCAAAGAAAAGTCAGGATTTTGTTAGCTGGGCCAGTCCTGACGCTCAAATTCTTTACATAAGGTTTTATTAGAAGATTAATAGATATTGCCCACATAATTTAATTACAGTCATGTTCCAATGACAAGCACACCATCACAGGCCATCATAAGCATGGTGACAAGCAAGCTTGTTGAACTTGATATTAAAACTTGTGCTAACAGCTGCAAATAGGACCTGAATTTGCAGTGTAAATGCCAGGCAAAGTAAGAACTAAAACCAAATAGTTTTTTGATGACTGGGGAGACATTCTAGAGTCTGTCTGAGAGCATGAGGCCTTCGGAGATGTGGTTGCTTTTGGGAGGTGACAAGCTGATGGACAGGGACCCATCAGCAGGGTCTGCTAACACTGCCTGTGTAGTGAGGTGCTGACTCTCTTCCCAGCTGCTCTGAGTCCCGTTTCTGAAGGATCCTGTCCTTCTGGAGCAGTTTTCTGCTGGATTCTCCCAGCTGCAGGACTGGAGGCAGTGGTTACGCTCTGAGCAGGGTGCTTTCCTGGATCCATCCCAAACACACTTGTGGAAGCTTGGCTTGACAGCACTGTGGGTGCTGGCACCGAGGCAAGATTGCACTTGAGGTGTGGGCAGGGCCAGAGAGATCTGCTGCCTCATTAATTAGGAGGGGAAAATGTGAATAAAGACATCTCAGCAATGGGTGCGTGGGCTGCTGCTGCTTCCCAGGCTTTTGGGATCCTGTGCCCAGCTCCCTTCTAATTGCTCTGGTGTGGGAGGCTGGCAGGGCTCTGGATGCCAACCTTTCACTGCAGCCTGGGACAAGAAGTGTCTGGTTTTAGCTTGTGCTCTGATCCAGGGGAATTCAGCAGGGAGGGAGGGAGGGAGGGAGGCAGTGGCTGCTCTTGCAAGGATGAAAACATTGCCTTCAGATAGTCCAAGGAGGAGAGGCAGATAATTCCACTCCCAGCATTCTCTCAGTGTAGTGTGAGGAAGCCAACAGTTTGATACTTCTCAGGGAGATAACAGGGATTGCCTCTAATTCCTGGATTTGGAGCTTCCCCAAAGCATTCTGAGATAGTGGGAAGAGCTGGTGCTCCTATCCCTGTATCTTCTAATTCCAGTCTGAGCCACTCTGACCTTGAGCATCAGGATTTTCTCTCCAGTTTTCTCGTCCTTCAGTGCTGGATTTCCTCTAGGAACATTCCCTCCCCCTGGGTCTCACAGTTTCCTTGCTATGTGGGGATGAAACCTGGGATGCCCCTTTCCCCTCCACCTCTCCCTCCTGTGTCTCACACCTGAGGTTTCTCACATCTGCCCCTTGCAAGAGCTTTTTCAGAGCAAGGATTGAAGTAGTGCAGCCTCTGACAGGCCATGGAAGTGGGATTTCTCCAGCAATTTTCCTGCAATCGGATCAGTTAAAGTGGCCCCACGGGCTTTTCGTGGGCTCTGGAGGTCGAGCTAAAAAGGTCTGTCTTGGGCAGGGGAATTTCAGTGCTGGATCAGGAGGCTGGGGCACCCCTGTTCTTTACCAGCAGATAATTTCACACATTTCTTTCTGCTGAAAAGCAAAGCTGGCAGTTCCCACCCCAGTTCTCTGAGCTGGGCTCCTGTTTTCCTCCTGGCAGTGCCTGGGGATGCGGGGATGGGAGTTGACTGAGGACAGAGAAGCTGATTTTTTGTGCAGAGTGTGAAATCCTGAAATATTCTTGCTTTCTGAAAGAACTGTGTGCACGAGGGAGTTTCTCAGGAATAAATCCCTGGAGCAGCTTGGGTGAGTGTGCTCTGTGAGGCAGCAAATGCAGCAGGAACTCTGCCACGGGGTTGAATGGAATATTTTGCCCAGAGAACCTCACCCTGCATTGTCTGCTTCTGTGAGCAAAAGAATAACAAGCCACAGAGGGCATGAAGAAACAGGAATGTTTTATCAGTTATAATTTGCTGGTGCCTAAAATTGCCTTCCATGCTCAGCCAGTGGTTTTGGAATTATGCTGCTGATCCTGCTAATAACTGGAACAAGAAAGGAATGAATTAACTGTGCAGTTCTGCACATACAGGGCTTGGACCTGCTTTCAGTGGGGTAAATCAAAAATAGAATGATCAAAATTATGGGGTAGTGATGGCATAAGAACAGAATCCAGGCTCTTTGTTGTTAGCTCAGCTATTACATTGATTGTGTGTGTGTACATAAGAAAACACAAATTCAGCCCGATATTCGAATTTCGAAAACTATTCAAAAATTACTCTTTTTTTTTGTGAGCCTTGCTTGGGGTTGGCTGAATAAAAGGCAGGTTAGTCATTCTACTCCTTTTCCATGGGCTAACTAAAACATTACCAGGCCCAAATATTCAGGATTTAGGCTGGAAAAGACCTCCCAAGATCCTCGAATCCAACCTTTGATCAGCACCTTGTCAACCAGACCCCGAGCACCACCGGTGGCTTTCAAAGAGCAAACTACATAAATTATTGCTCCTGCCCTGGCAGAGCTGGTGTTTCCTGGCTGTGAGGGACGAGAAAGGGGAGGCAATTAACTGAACAAAGCTGTTCCACTCCCTCTTTTTTTGGTGCAGCAGCACCTGTGGAACACTGCTGTTCATGTGTTCACCGTGTCCCAGCCCCCCTTTTGCCACCTCCTGGGCTGAATTTGGGCGTTGAGGTGGCTCAGCTGCGTGTTTGGGGCTGGTTTGGGGACACAGCAGTGCGTGTGTGGCTTCACAGAGTGGCCTCTCTGTCCCACGAAACCCATCTGGGATAAATCTCCCCCGAGCAGGGCTCGAGGGACACGTTCACACTGCCCAGAGCGCCCTTGTGGTGGAGGCAGAGTCTGACTAATGAGCTTTCTTGGCCCGCTGCAGCCTCCCCCCAGCTCCAGCCAAGCTCACACGGGGCCAAAACAAACAGTAAACATTTCTTGCAGGGGTTTATTTTGGTCTGAGTCAGATAATCTGCTGTGAGTTTTGACTCCAGGCCTCCTCCTTTGCCACGAGGAGAAGCTGTGCTTGTTGCTTCACCACCCTGCTCTGGAGAAGCCAAGCCCAGAACAAAACAAAACTCAAATGGAACCCTCTAAGAATCCAAGAGTTGCTCTTAAACAGCATCAAAGCCACCTGATTTCAACCTAAAGTTGGCAGAAAACCTTTGGAGACCCACAGGAGTGTTTTGTCTGTCCTTGTTATCACAAAAATGGGGCGAGGGGTGGGGGGGGAAGATTCCAGGTTGAGCCTGGGGACGGTGCTTGGGAAGTTTTGGGGACTAAGAGGGACCTCTTGACTCCAAAAATGGGAAGTTTTGTGTGTCAGGATGTCAGTGGAGGCCACTAGGACCCGAACAGGGATGGAATAAGGATCTGAAGAGGGGTGGAACAAGGACCAGAATAGGGATGCAGTAAGGATAAGAACAGGGATGGAATAAGGACCAGCACAGGGATACAATAAGCACAGTCTACTCAAGCTGAGTTAGAAGAATTCAGCAGTGAGCAAAAAGGGGCATCTCTGTGTCTTGCACTGATAATTTTGCCTCTTGTGGCACCGGCTGCTGAGAGGGAGCCCCTCTGGAATGTGTGTTCTGGGGGATCAAGCACATTTTTCCCAGGGTTTTTTTTTTTCTCCTGCAGGTTGGCTGGTTGTTTGTTGAGGGTTCTGGGGGGTTCATTCAGGCTCTGCTTTTTCCCCTCCTGCAGCCTGTGGCCAAGGGAGCTTTCCTGCGAGGGACGGGCCTGAACCTGGCCACGGGACGCTTCACAGCGCCCGTCTCGGGCATCTACCAGTTCTCAGCCAACGTCCACGTCGGTGAGTGCTGCCCCAGCGGGTTGCTCCGTGCCCAAACCGACCTTCCCTTAGCTGGAATTCCCAGCTCAGGGACCAAATAGGTGCAGGAGTCGTGGCTCCCACAAAAGGCTTTGGAAGAAATGAAGGTGGTGATGGAGAACTCCGCTCTGACTGTGGTTTGTCACTGCTCCTCTGGAGCACCTGCAGTGTCTCTCCTCCCACATATCCTCTCTTTGCTTGCAGCTGCACTTTCTCACCCCTTAAATCTGTTATTACAGAGGCTCTGCCACTGTCACTGGTGGGCTCAGGCTTGGCCAGTGGCCCTGGAGCTGCTTGGCACTGGCTCCATCAGCCACAGGGGAACTTTCTGGCAGCTTCTCCCAGAACCCACCCTGTAACCCCCCCTCCATCAAACCATTGCCACACAAACCCAGCACAGAAACCACAAGGCTGCTGGTGCCTCTCTGAAGCCCCAAAACTGCCTCCTGGTGGTCTGTCACCTTCTGAAAATGCTGATGTTTTTTCCCCCAGACCACAGTGAGCTGAAGAGCAAAGTGCAGCTCCGAGCCAGGGACAACGTCCGGGTGTTGATCTGCATCGAGTCCCTGTGCCACAGATACACGTGAGTCACCCCGAGGCTGTCTTGGCAATTGTTTTTCTCACCTAGGCCAATGTTTCCACCAGCTCTGGGAGAGATCAGGTTCCCCAGCAGCGGATTTGAAGTGTTGAAATGCTCGTGGAACTTTTCTGCAGGGAGCGATTCCACCCGGCCCTTGGGTTTTGTGTGTTTCTTCCATTCTGGTTTTTAACCTTTCAGTTAAAATGCTAATTTAGTTAATAAGGTGAATAATTTAGTTAATTGCCTAAATATTACTATTCTTACCCAAATATAAAATAATATGGCTAAAATGCATATTTTGAGAGAGTTGTGAGTGAACTCAGCTGGAAAACTGTAGGTACTGAATGCTCAGCTACCATCATCAACACACAGAGCGACAGAAACACTCTAATTTTGGGCCAGATTTCAACTTTTAGGATTTCAGCCTCCTCCTGAGTGGATCTCAGCATCTCACTCGTGATTTGCAGCGAGGAGGAGAATGAACAAGTGGAAAATAGAGGTGAATGGGTCCTGAGGCAGAAAGTGCAGGGCTTGTACAGAGGTTTTTGACACCTTCTCGCAGCCTCAGCTGACCTGGGGAGCTTGTTTAGACAATGATGCCGAATTTTCCTCTGCTGGGGGCAAAACTCTGCTCAGGAAACAGCTTATTTTTGGGTCATGACACCCTTGGGTGTTGCTCCTGCTGCCCTGGGCCGTGGCACTGATGTGTGCTGGCTGCTCATTTTCTGTGCTCCTGTCGCCCTTTGAGCTGCTGCCCTGAGTGCCAGGGAAGGCCAGGGAGCTCAGGGGGATTTGGGAAGGCTTTGCTGGGAGGAAGGGGCTGGGGAGCCCCTGTCCTGGGCCAAAAAGCACCCAGCAGAGGGCAATGCTGCTTGCACAGAGTGGCCACAGCCTGTGGCTCTGCCCATGTCACCAGAGCAAAAACACCTGTAACAGGTCTGGTCTGCCCTGCCTGCAGCTCTGTAGCACCACTGAAATATATCCATTGATCCATTGATCCAGAGCAGGATAAACTGGGATTCCCAGACCTTGGATTTCCCATGAGCAGAGGCTGCACGTTCCACAGAATCGTTTTCTACGCGCTCTGGGAACGTGGAAAGATGTTCCCTGTTGGGATTGGGGGGGGGGAATATTTCTTTTTGGATGACTCTCTTCTGTCTCCAAGCCTTGCTCTCTTTCTCTTTGCTGCCCATTTAGTCAACCTTAGAGGTTTTTATTAAAGACTGGGTGTCAGACTCTGCTCCCAGCACAACTCTAGTCTTGCCTCCTTGTTCTGGGAAATGCAGGCACTGAAGTTATCTGAACAGGAAACCTCCCTGGGGGTCAGGGAAACTCCTGTGCCTTCCTCACTGCAGGTCTTTTCAGCTGAAAGCTCCTAGAAAACTGTTCTGGTTCTAGCTGGGCTGTGTGAACCTCCCTGTCACATCCAGCCCAGGCAGGTTTATTGGGATCTTTGGGGATTAACTTGCCATCCATAAGGATTTACAGCTGCTTTCTCCAAAGAACTGGAACAGTAAACCCTTCTTTTTCTTCGACAGAGCTGACCCAGCTGTTCATCATTTAGATAAAGCCCTCTGATGTCTGGCTTGGAGTTTTCCTCAGCTGTCCAGGGGTCACAATTTATGATCTGTTGTCCTGCAAGGCTGTGGGTCGGGCAGGGAAGCAGAACCAGCAGAATCCCCCCTGTCTCCCGTGGTGGGTGGGAGTGGGACTGGCCTGTGGCAGGGAAGGAGCTGGGTGGAGGGATGGGAACCTGCCTGGACACTGTGCTGGCACAAGGCTGGGCTGCCACCCGTGCCTGTGGAATTTCCTGGGGGTGTCAGCACACACAGTCACTCGGTGAGGGAGCTGGGAGAGCCCCCAGGGCTTCGAGTTTCGGGTGGAAACTCAGGCAGAGGAGACAGTTGGAGTGGAAGTGATTAACGATGGGAAGTCCCCACCCCACTTGGGCTTTTGGCAGGATATGACACACAGACTGAGCTCCTCGGCCCAGGTGGTGCCAAGTGGCTCCTTCTCCCTGGGCCAAATTGCCCCTGCCCTTCACATCATTCCCTTGCAAGCAGCACGTTGGCACTTGCAGGGTTTCATCAGCAACCTCTTGTATTTTTAAGGCAGCTGATTCCTGCTGGAATCATGGGAATGGTTTGGGTT